TTCCACTAGAGAAAGATTAGTTACTAGCCCAGATCCCTGTAGGATCATTTGGAGTCTGAGATGGAAAGCGGGGCAGAATGCCCACTGAAATCTCTGAATCCAGAGAGACATTTTCAGAACGAAGTGGTTGCACTTTAATGACCTTCATTGTTTTCTTCACAGCTAGAAGAATGATCAGACACATAATTTGCACATTCAGACACTGCACAGCATTAAGCTTTTCTTAGTGAAGAAATCAGATTACCTAGTCACAGAAATTATTACTGCTTTTTCTAGTTATCATTTTACACAGCCCTGAAGTCAGCAAGAACCCTTCAGCATACAAGGTAGAAAACTAGGTATGTCTTAGTTTTGGACTGTACAGTGGTGCCCCGCTACACGACGACCCCGCAGAATGACGAAATTGCATGATGATGACTTTTTTGCGATCGCTATAGCAATCACAAAATGATGTTTCCTATGGGGGATTTTCGCTGGACGTTGATTAGGTCCTTGCTTCGCAAATCGTTTGTTCGCAAAATGACGATCTTTCCGGCTCCGCAAAATGGCTGCCCTGTGTTTTCCGGACTCATGCTTTGAAAGGCAGCCATTTTAACAGCTGATAGGCGCTCAGAAAATGGCTTCCCCTAATGGCGATCTTCGCTGGACAAGCAGGTATTTTCCCCATTGGAACGCATTAACCGGTTTTCAATCCATTCCAATGGGGATTTTTTCCCCGCATGACGAAGATTTCGCTGGACAGCCATTTTAACGGAACGGATTATCGTCATCATGCGAGGCACCACTGTACCATGGGAGTAATTACTGAACACACCCAGCTCTCAGAGGACACAATATGTGTTATCTGATAATTATTATACAAGGTTATGCAAAAGATCTTCAAAATTTTTAAGTATATTGCTAGGAACAAAAATACTACACCAAAGATCACAGAACTTTGGTGTAGTATTTCTAGAACATCACTGCAAGACAAAGGCATATAACAGCAAGTGCTTTGGATCCAAAACGTTACAAAACAAACACCAAACCACCTACCTTCAGGGTCAAAGGCGAGTCTATACCATACTTTTTTTTTGCAATCTCTACAATTTCTTTCTCAATGATTTCTTGAGAAGTACCTTTCACATCAATATAGTAGCAATCGCTACTTGCATAATGACAAGAGATTGCCTGCATTAAAAAAACCGAAAGAATACATTAAATCTGAAGCTGTGGCATTTGCTTTTTTGTAAGATTGTGTAAGGTGAGCGTATTTAGGGGGAAACTCTAAACATTTCCCAAACACATAATTTGAAAAGTCCCTACAGCTGTTTGCAGTGAGGATGTATGTTTCTTTGCACATTACTTTGAAAATACATTTGAAGCTCGTGTCATCTTTATTCCACCTTTGGTGTTTCATTGTAAACAAAGGAGAAGAAACCCTTTTCTACTACGTGTAGCATTCTCCCAGGGTTTTTAAAAAATTATTATTATTTTGCAGTGGGGGCTGCATACCCTTTCTTCTCCCTCCCTCTTCCTCACCACTGAGCAGACCACTGGGGGCAAGACAGGGTGCTGCTAGAAAAGCCTAAACTAATTACTTGCAGAGAGCTTCCGAAATCAGTCTGAGAGCTGCATAAGAGCAGATGAAGCTGCTCAGCCCTGCTGTAAAAGGTGTATTGAACAAGCTCCTATCTTATTCCTCTTCTCACTGCTGTATTACTGGAAAATTCAGTGATTAAGATTGAAGTCAAAGCCTTACCAGGCCATTCAAAATTTTTTACTGGATGTGAGTGTCTTGTCTCTCTAATACACACCTGGGACAGACTCAAAATTATGGCAAACATTGGAAATAACCTGCTTCATTTTCAAACCCAATCAAAGGCTATCTAAAAGTGTCACATTAGCAAAGTGGTGGAAATCTTTCCAAAACACTTTGCTAGGGCTTTGCTTTTTAGAGCCATCCTCCTGGAATGCCGGTGCTGGGTGCAAAACAGTGTCCTGTTGAAATCTAATTATCCCAGATATTCTTCCCAAAGGAAATGGATTTTGCTTGCTACACGCATGGTTTTCAGGGCAGAGTGGGGACTTTTTCAAAGCAAAGAACTGGAGAAATTTCAGTGGCCCACCTCAGATTTTGATATTAATATTTTAAGTGAAATAGTCAAGAATAGAGATGGGGGTATTCATATACCCCCGCACAGGTGGAGATGACGAGATCTGGCCCCCATGGGGCCGGACGGTCCACTCACTGATCTGCAGTGGTGGATCGGTGAGTGGACAGTCTGGCCACATGGGGCTGGACCCTCATTATCTCCACCTGTGTGGGGCTCTTCATATACAAATACCCCCATCTCTAGTCAAGAACCTTCGTATTTTGATGTCATGGTCGATTCGTGCGTAACTCTTGTTACATACAGCACTGATGTTACCTGTCTGTCATGGGTTTGGAGGGAAAGTTCCATCCTATGGGGAGTGGAAGGCGGGACATCAGGAGGAGGGGCTGTACTGTATAAATATGTGATGCCTGTGTGGAGAGTTTAAGAGATACTGGGAGATGCTGAGAGACACTGGGGTGTGACGAAGCAGCAGCTGGGAAGAAGAAGCTGTTGTGGGAGTCTGTGTGTCAGACAGGGTACTACTGTGTGTCAGAGTACCAACCTGATAGGTTCAGGTGTCTGTTGGTTAGCCAGAACTGATAGGTTCAGGGTCTGTGCTTCAAGTTAAGGGTTCTGTGTGAACCAAACTGTATGC